GAACCAGCTCACAGTTCTTACTCTTCCTTAATCTGTGGCTCCTGTGGAAACACCAGGTCTGGGTGAGTAGCTGTTAGCCCTTCCTGTTACATCCTGGGGACAGCAACCAGCCTTCTAAACTCACCACCTACCTACCAGAGAACACCCCTACCTACCTAGCCAGTGAGAACACCCCTGCACTCAGAAAGGCTCCTACCTTGACGGTGGGTTTTGTTTTCTTTTTGATCCTGGGCTTCACTCGTTCCACGGCGGGCAGAGGTGGTAACTTCTTCAGCTCCTCAAGGACAGCGATAGCAGCATTCTTCTTGGAGATCTTCTTGCTCTTCCCTTCACCTTCGCCCACAAACTCCCCAACCGAAACCTTGGTCACAAAGTTCTTCATGTGGGGGGGGCCACTCTCCCGGGCCACCTGTTTCAGAGGGAAAGACTGAGTGAAAGCATGACAGACACTTACTGGAAGCTGCAGGGCACACTGCATGGCACAGTTCACGCCAGAGCCGGGAAAAGGGACCTGAGGACAAGAGCCGGGACCAGATGGGAGCAGGAATACTGACCAGAGGAGGCAGAGGCCACTCCAGCTGCTCTCTCTTCCCTTTCTCTTACTTTTCAAACTAGTATATGCTCTTGGGTCTGATGAGTCCCAAAAATCTGGGCATGAACAGGGAGACATTTTCTGCCCCCACTCCACCCCCAAGGGTCACAGGGTGTTCAGGTTAGTGTGGCCACTGCAGCTGGAAATGGAAGCTGGCCAGCCAATCCTGAAATAGCTACTGCACAAAGAGGTCACGTTTAATATCTGTTCTGAGGCTTCGGCCAAGATAGAGCTTACTGAACAACGGCTACTATGCAGTTACAACAAAGGAGGGCTCACTTCGAATCCAGCCCACCGCACCAGCAACCGCGGGGTCTGGAGTCGGGCCGTGACTGTATTTGGTGCCATCATGTCACTGCTGCCTACCAATGTCTGTGTCAGACAGAGCCACCACAGTTAGTTCTAACTAAAATGATGTGTTTTTATCAAAAGTCATGTTATAAACACTTTTTTGAAAAACTAAACTGTTTCTGTCTTCTATTAAATACCTAACCCAGTTTCTGTGCAAGATTTTACTACTAAAACTTGGTCAAAAATTCAGTTCATTTATTCAATAAATATTTCCTGAGCATCCCATGTATGCTAGGTAATCTTCCAGGTGCAGCAGAAAAGAAAGCCCTTGCCCAATCCAATAATGGAACCAAGGACAAACCTTGTGATACATGAGTTACTTTCTGGAAGAACTCCCACTGACAAACTCAATGCCATCACCTACAAACAAACTCAATTATTATTAAATGTCCTAAACTATTACTTTTAAAGGTACTCGCCAACAGGGGGCGCTTCGACTACGTCGTTTATGTGACCACTACTTGACAATAAGATCATGGAAAAAAAGATTTAAAGGTGAGTTCATTTTGGTGGAGAACCTTTTTTTTTTCTGAGAGGTTTTCGCTATAGGGTGCGTGCGCTCGCCAGACAGACAGAGACATAGAGACAGAAAGCGAGAAATCACCCCCCAGGGGGGATGGTCACGCCGCAATCCCTTCTCCTCCATTCTCCTCTCGGGATCTTGGGCACGCACGCACACGCGCCCGGCGTGAGTTTTAAGCCACCGGGTCTGGGATGCGAACCGCGGTCGACTACGTGGGAGTCCAGCGTCATAGCCATTACGCTAACTGCTGGTTCCCATGGAGAACCATTTTGAGAGTCATACATGGCTTTCATAATATGCACTTTCCATGCCAAGTACAAGTCGTCACGCCACTTTTATCCTGTGGCAGACAGATAAGCACCACCAGGGTGTAGGTCAGAAACCATCATCATTGGGAACCAGCAGTTAGCGTAATGGCTATGACGCTGGACTCCCACGTAGTCGACCGCGGTTCGCATCCCAGACCCGGTGGCTTAAAACTCACGCCAGGCACATGTGCGTGCTAGCCCAAGATCCTGAGAGGAGAATGGAGGAGAAGGGATTGCGGCGTGACCATTCCCCCTGGGGGGTGATTTCTCGCTTTCTGTCTCTATGTCTCTCTCTGTCTGTCTGGCGAGCGCACGTGCCCTATAGCGAAAAAATCTCTCAAAAACACACACACACAAAGAAACCATCATCATTCAGCTCAAGGAGTTGAATTCGGGCCAGTGTAGGGTGCTAGCATATAGCAAGAGAAGGAATACACTTATGACAGGCATGAAATTTGCGAGTTACCTGAAACTACGAAGATGCTATAAAATTACTTTCCTGGGTAGTATTTCAGATAGTATTGTTTAAAAATTAGGTCATAATTAAGGTGGAAATAAAAAGCAAGAATTTGCAAAGACTTTTCCATGTATCAGACAATACGGGAAACTTAACAAAATCCTTTATTGGACCCAAGAGATGGCGAAATGGTTACGTCGCTGGACTCCCATGTAGTCGACTGCAGTTCGAGTCCTTGACTCAGCAGCTTAAAACTCACACAAGGCATGCGTGCATGCATGCCTCAGATCCCAAGAGGAGGATGTGGGAGAAGGGACTGTGGCATAGCCATCCCCCCAGAGGTGATTTCTCACTTTCTGTCCCTCTGTCTCTGTCTCTCCGTCCCCCCAGAGGGGATTTCTCACTTTCTGTCCCTCTGTCTCTGTCTCTCCAGCAAGTGCATGTGCCCTATAGCAAAAATCTCTCTCTCTAAAAAAAAAATCCTTTGTTACCTCTATCTGCTCTCTCTGGATCTACTATGCTATATCTGAAGGAAACATGTATTAAATGTTTTTCCATATGGAACCAACCCATTAACTAGATTTTTTAACTGAAACTGTTTTTTAAAGAATTATTTTACTTATTACTATTACTTTTTAAAATCTACAGGACAAATCTGCGCTCATCAGATACAGAGAAAGTGAGAAAGCAAGTCACCAGATTCAGGACTCGAACTACAGTCCACCATGTGGGAGAGTCCAGCACTTGAACCACCATTCCACCAATTTTTTATTTTTTTAAATAATTATTTTAACTTTATTTATTTATTTATTTATTTTAGTTTGACCAGAGAGGGACAGAGTGAGAGAAGGGGGGAAAGTGAGAAAGCAAGTCACCAAATCCAGGACTCGAACCATAGTCACCCACGTGGAACTCTAGCGGCCCCAACCACCGCACTTCCTGCTGGCCCCTTAAATTGCAATTATTAAAGTCTCCGACAACAAATAGTTATTAAATGGGCAAACTGGGGGCAGATGCTGGATAGTAACAAAACCTATGTCTTTTTCAAAATTCCTCTCAGGGACCATTATGGAAATTCTTTTTTAAAAAATTATTTTATTTATTTATTTAGATAGTTTGTTCATTTATTCATTCATTCATTCATTCATTTATGTATTCATTCACTCATTCAGGTATGTATGTATTTATTCTTCATTCATTTATTTATGTCTTTATTTATTTAACTTGACCAGAAAGGGACAGAGGGAGAGGCAAGTAAGAAAGCAAGCCACCAGGTCTGGGACTCAAACCATGGTCAGCCATGTGGGAGTCCAATGCCCTCAACCACCATGCCACCTGGTGGCCTTGAAAATCCTTAATACTTTGGTGATAAAGATACTTTTGAGAGTGGTGAAAGCAATGGACCTGATCTCCAGAATACACATGTAAACAGGAAACAAGATTCTGAAGACCATTTCAGGAGACTCGAGAAGGACTGAGGCATCCACAGCCCCTCTAGAGATTCCAGGATAGCCCTAAGTCAAGGACTTATAAGAGATAAGAAATAGCTTCACTGAAGTCTGAATCTTTGAGGCTCACATTAAATGAGTATTATTCCAGAGTTATTTAGGGGGGAAAACATCCCTACAATAATGATAACAGGATTTTTATAATACAAAATCCTACATGTAAAAGAAGCTTACCTCAAAATTCACAGGCAAGTTCCGTTTAAGTGCAATTTCAAACACTTGACTAATTTCAGATTTATTGAGATTTTCTTCTTCTGATTCTCTTCCATTTACCTAAAAGAAGAATAATCATTTAAGAATTTATTTTATTTCTTCCTTTCTTCAGTTAATTACTATAGGTGCATGCACTAACTGGAGAGACAGAGAGAGCAACCAAGAAATCACCCCCCGGGGGCAGGGGTGACCACGTCGCAATCCCTTGTCTTGCATTCTGCTCTCGGGACTTTGCACATGTGCGCATATATGCCTAGCATGCCAAGTCTCCAGGTTCAAACTGTGCTGTCAGCCATGTAGAAGCCAGCTAGCATGCCAAGTCACCAGGTTCAAACTGTGCTGTCAGCCATGTAGGATCCAGCTATTTTAATCTGTACCCTACCTGTTGGCCGAAGAATTCAATCTTATTAAAACCATCAACATCCCAGCAGCGATGACCAACTTAAAAGCACTGAACCTTGGCTTTATGGTTTTAACACTAAACCAGTGTTTAGTGTTGCCACCTATGTCCTGTATCACTGAATTTAGGTGGTCAGTTTTGGGGGAGGAAAAAGCAACCCCCATTTCTCCATCCTGTCAGAACTTGGGGTATGCATGAACATGTTTATGGCATGCTTTCAAGCTGGGATTCGAACCAGGGTTGGCCACATGGGACCTGGCTCCTACTGCACAGCACTGAGCCACTGTACTACAGGGCCCGCCCTGTCACTTCCTTTTTAAAAGTGGTCTCTACAGACTTCATACCCTAGTAAGAAACCTGCACTCTTCGGGTCAAAGGACTTAAGTCTGAATTCGTCCTGTCCCCCACAGATCTGTCTGTATTTTTACTTTCCCAAAATATGGCTTTGCAACATTGCAGGGTACTTGGGAGTCACTGTCCCCAGGTGGCAGGGGCATACTGTTGCACTGCAGTGAGGTTGCCTCCTGTTCCAAAGCTGCAGGTAAAGCAGGAGACAAAGATGCACATTTATTTCAAAGTGAGATTATGTTGTGCTTCTACGCAAATAACTGTATATTATTTGGATTAGATAAAATGTTGCAGGTGGTGTGATGGTTAAGAGCAGGACTCCCCATCCGGCTGACTGGACCTGAGGGCTGCTTGCACGCACGCGCTCTCGCTCTCGCTCGCTGGCTCTCTCTCTCTCTCATCTATGTGCCCTGTAGCAAATTTTAAAATAACAACGATAAATAAAATTAAATAATTCTAAAAAAATAAAAGTTGCAAGTGACCCAAACCAAACCCAACAAGCGTCATTTCCAGTACGATGAAGAGAGTTTAGTGGTCCCTTAGCTTTCCCTTGACTCAGTGGAAATTACTGCTAACACCAAATTCTATAGTTCAGCAATAAAATCTAGGCAGCATTAAGAAAAAAACACTGAACTATGCTTAACCCTAAGTAAGGCAGAAAAAGAATCACCCTTTAACTATCTGGCTCCAACAGACCCTTTTTATTTTTCTGTTTTAAGTCATCTTACAAATAATTTACAGAATAAAAGGGGGAAAAAAAGACGTTTCACTAAACATCTTAACCAAAATATATAAACAGCGGGCCTGCTCACTAGTGGGTAAGGAGCCAGGGCCCATATGGCTGGCTGTGGCCTGAATCTCAGCCCCAAGGGGGTTAAAAAAACAACCTGTCTCATTGCTAACATATATGCCTTCTGGCAATTTAAAAAAAAAAAGAGAGAGAGAGAGAGAGAGAGAGCACAGCACTGAGCCACTGTACTACAGGGCCCGCCCTGTCACTTCCTTTTTAAAAGTGGTCTCTACAGACTTCATACCCTAGTAAGAAACCTGCACTCTTCGGGTCAAAGGACTTAAGTCTGAATTCGTCCTGTCCCCCACAGATCTGTCTGTATTTTTACTTTCCCAAAATATGGCTTTGCAACATTGCAGGGTACTTGGGAGTCACTGTCCCCAGGTGGCAGGGGCATACTGTTGCACTGCAGTGAGGTTGCCTCCTGTTCCAAAGCTGCAGGTAAAGCAGGAGACAAAGATGCACATTTATTTCAAAGTGAGATTATGTTGTGCTTCTACGCAAATAACTGTATATTATTTGGATTAGATAAAATGTTGCAGGTGGTGTGATGGTTAAGAGCAGGACTCCCCATCCGGCTGACTGGACCTGAGGGCTGCTTGCACGCACGCGCTCTCGCTCTCGCTCGCTGGCTCTCTCTCTCTCTCATCTATGTGCCCTGTAGCAAATTTTAAAATAACAACGATAAATAAAATTAAATAATTCTAAAAAAATAAAAGTTGCAAGTGACCCAAACCAAACCCAACAAGCGTCATTTCCAGTACGATGAAGAGAGTTTAGTGGTCCCTTAGCTTTCCCTTGACTCAGTGGAAATTACTGCTAACACCAAATTCTATAGTTCAGCAATAAAATCTAGGCAGCATTAAGAAAAAAACACTGAACTATGCTTAACCCTAAGTAAGGCAGAAAAAGAATCACCCTTTAACTATCTGGCTCCAACAGACCCTTTTTATTTTTCTGTTTTAAGTCATCTTACAAATAATTTACAGAATAAAAGGGGGAAAAAAAGACGTTTCACTAAACATCTTAACCAAAATATATAAACAGCGGGCCTGCTCACTAGTGGGTAAGGAGCCAGGGCCCATATGGCTGGCTGTGGCCTGAATCTCAGCCCCAAGGGGGTTAAAAAAACAACCTGTCTCATTGCTAACATATATGCCTTCTGGCAATTTAAAAAAAAAAGAGAGAGAGAGAGAGAGAGAGAGAATTTAAAAACCAGAGACCCTAGCATTTATTCCATGTTCCTAGTCTGGAGGGCACATATGGCCCCAATGGGCAAGGTCTTCTATCTACCTGCAAGTAGTTGCTCATTGCCTGAAGTACCAAACCTGGGCACAGCCCACCCATGGCAATGCCAAATTTCTTTCCTTTGTTTTTATTGCCAGAGGGCAGGTGCACTTGCCAGAGAGAGAGGGAGAGGAAGGCAACCCCCAACAGAGTGTAGTCATGCTGCAATCCCTTCTCCTCCATATCCCCACCATACTGGGATTTAGGGCACACATGCATTCATGCCCAGAGTGCTCTCCAAGCCACTGGGGCTGAGACAAACGCACAGTCAACCATGTAGGATTTGACTTCCTTAACCACTGGGCCATAGGGCCTGTCCAGTGCCAGATTTTAAATACATTACCAGTAAGTCCTCGCTTATCAGGACCTTCTGATTCTCCTCATACAAGTACTAAACACAATGCTTTCGAAAACGCACTCAAAATCTTGTACATCAGCCATCTTCTTTGCTCCCTAACTACAAAATGCTTTCATTTTTCATATTTAGAAGCACCAGTAGAAGGATCAATGCAGTGACTTTTTTTTCATTTTCACATTACCTATTTCCTTCCAATCATCTTTGTATACACATCTCCATTTGCATTTGTCCACTTCTTTTGTGGAAAATAAGTGGTAAAAAATAAATGTTGGTGGCCAAAAATCATGAAAGATGAGAGAATGCTGACATACACAAAGTGTTTCTTTTATCCAAACAGGACTGGCAAGGTTCTTGTCACAAAATACTACATGACGAAGTCCTTCCTGTGGATGACTGACTAGATGAGAATAACGCCGTTCCTCTTCCTACGCCACAGAACTGCATTGTCCACGCACCGATTCTCGGAACTGGGAACACGTATCTAAGCTGTCATCCTAAGACTCAGTCTGAGGCATCACTCAGATGCTCAGTCTCACCCTGATCATTACAGCCTGGAGTGCCACCACCTGCCTCTTAGTGTTCGTCTGCCGATCTAATGATCAGAAGTGATTCTTCTATCAATTTCTTTCTCTTTGCCATTACATATGGGAAAAGAAAATTTCTGAGCTCTCACCTGGGTTCCATGAAAGCAAAAAGGAGACTCAAAAGATGATGTCTCCACGCTTCTTTTACATCTTCCAGAAATATAGTATGTTGGGGAAAGTCAAAAGGACATTAAAGGATGATCCAAGAATGACAATTATTTCACTACTGTTATCATTACCCAGGGATTTCACATTCTTAGATTTTCTTACAATTTCAGTCTTATTTAGCATGTTGGGAATGGATAGTGAATATACTGAAATAATATCTAAGATGACGAGTAACACAATTTTTCAAAACAGGAAAATTAAGATCCCATAATGTAAGGATTTAGAAAAAGGTTCAAAAGGCCCAAGGGTATGATAATTTTATGATGGATGACTTCTATTTTATAAAATAAGTATGTTTTCTCTCGATTCTTTGTAAGACTGCTAAAAAAAAAAATGAAAATCATGCAGTATCATGCTTTTAAAGAGCCTGAAAAAGAAGCTCAAAAATGAAAATTGGATCCGATGGAAACTGACAGTATAATGAAGGTTGAGGAGGCCAAGCAAGTGGCATGGAGATTAAGGCAGCTGGATCCCACACGGTAGAGCCCAGAATTCGAGTCCTGAATCTGGTGGACTGAAGATCATACTGGGCATGCATGTGCATACAGAATCCCAAGAGGAGAGTGGAGGACAAAGGACCATGGCATGGCCAGCCTCCAAGAGGGGTGATTTCTCACTTTCTCTCTCTCTCTACCCCCATAGCAAAAAACAGAAACAAAAAATAATAATGAGGTTTAAAGTCTCTGATTTTAAGTTTTAGCCCTACTTAAATATGTTCTTGTCCCAAGTGAAAATAAGGACTCAAGACCAGGAAGAGCTGTACTTATTTATTTTTATCAAAGCTAAAAATGTATTTTAAACTTTTAAACAGTATATTTTTACTTTTTTGGTAGAGGTTTTTGCCTTAGGTGCATGCACTTGCCAGAGAAAGACAGAGACAGAGACAGTTGAGAGGGAAAGTGAGAACATTTCTGCATCTTGATCCTTGCCCCCCAGTCAAGTCCGGCCCACTCTCAGTCCCCTGTATATGGATCTGCCACAGTGACATAAAGGTATCCATTTATTTAACCATTCTCACAGGAACAGACATTAAGGGAGCTCCTGGTTTTCCACCGGTTACAGATTCTGCAGCTGTGACACCTTGCTCCTTAGAGCTCAGAAACTGGGTAACAATCATCCTTTGTT